GTTATATTATCTAGTTAGCCAAACTTATTCTTCAAACACATCATAAGATTAACCACATTTGACTAAGGCTTTATTTGGGATAGCTTCCTTACTACTTTTTAAAGCTGCCTTTTAGTACAAAATTTTTTAAACTAGACATTTTTGTACTACAAAAATGATTTAAAAAGTAGGAAGAAAGCTGTCTTCTTTGATTCTTCATAGTTGGCTACCCAAATGGAAAAGAGAACTCTTACCTCGAGGGGAAGGTTACTCTTTCCACTTTGGGTATAAAAAATGATCCAATTTGGACTTTTAAATAGGAAAGGACTATCCCTCAAAGGGGTGTCTTTTCATGTTTAGAATCTAAGCTTTGGATCCGTGTATTCCAACTCAAAGTTCAACTTTCATAACTCAATACTCAAACAAATTACATTAATATGAAAGCATAATTATAGACTTTCCTGCAGGATTATCCTAAGCATTTAAATATTAAAATACATTCCAAAGAAGTTGTATGTATATGTGCAAAAAACGTAAACACAATTAGCCACGCTCTTTTTATTTAGGGGCTAAGTAGTTGAAGCACATGTATTAATTATATTTATTATTTATTTAGTTCCCTTTACTTCCCTGCATGAGCATGGCCACCTGCAGAAAACTCAGTGAACATCCAAATCATTCCTAACCTAAGGGTAATCTAATCGTCAAACACATCATCAATCCACAGAGTGTAGTAAAAGTAAACAAACACACCAAGCAATTTCAATCACAACATGCAATAAAATCTCAAAAACCCGGCACATAGTAGAAAATTAAACACCTTTCTAGCCTAGATCTAGAGTCGGTTGTCCTAGCAAACCATCTAAATAGTGTGTGGTAGGTTGTGTGGCTGGGGTAGATCCTAAACAGAATTGTTTGTTGGAGTTTGAGTTTATTAAAGGTTGAAGGAGAACTTTTATGTCTGAGTTTAAGTATTAATATGTTAAAGCTTAATTTGGATGTATTTTAATTATTAAATGATTGTTACATTTGTTGAACACTAAGGCCGTGAAGTTTATTTCATATTCCTTGGGGCTAAGTTAATAACATCTAAGGTCTAGGTTACCCAATAGCAATCATGGTTGATTAAGTTAATTTAATTTGTTAGAAATTAAGGGTTGAATAATATTAATTATTCAACTAATTACTTATTTTAAAAGTTAAATTAATTTATATTTTAAATCAACAAGTTTATGGTGTTGTGCTACCAGGCTCGAGGAACCAAGCTTCCTTAAGACATGTAGCCCCACAGCCTAGAGTATTCCATCATAAAAACCTTATTGATGTAGTTATATTAAGGATTTTAATTGTTTAGATAATTAAAAGTAAATTAATTTTTATGTTTAACACTCCATTAAATTCATTCGTGATATGTGCCACCAGGCTCGAGGAACTGGGCCTATTTAGGACACATAACCCCGTAGTCTGGAGTAGTCCATTCAATAAACTTTATCTTCAGAGTGATTGTTGTGTATTATAATGTTGGTTTATTGATTTTATTAATCAAATTAATGATTCATGGAATTTTAATGAATTATTGATTTTTTTTAGAATTATCAGAATTATTTTAATGTGTTAATTAAAAGGGTTTAAAGTTGACTTTTTAAATTAAAGTTAATTTTGAATGTTTCAGATTTCTAATAAATATTAGGCCTTATAATGTGTACTTAGACGTTTAGTTTGCTTAATTTGGAGTTTCTTAGAGAAATTTATGAATTTTTGAAGTTTTGACCTCATTTTGAGTTAGGTTTGATCAGATTGTTGACCTTTTGACTTTGACTTAATTTTGGAGGTTTGATATTTTTAGAAAATACTAGATCTTAAATGGAGTTGAATGTGACTATGTTTGGTCAAATCGGATTTTTCTGTAATAAGTTGTGAATTTTCAAAATTTCCTAAATTATTTGACTTCTAAAATTGGTTAATTAGGAAGGTTTCTATCATTTTGATCCAAACTCATTCTAAAATTCATGAAATCACTCCCAAATGTCAAGGATGACCCATCAGAGTGTTTCCAAGTTTTTAGAAATTATTTGAGATTTTTAATAATTTTTAATTAATTAAATTAATCAATTATTAACTTTCACTAAAAGTCAAATCATATGTCTAATGACAGGGCTTTTATTTTTCCTAGGTAAAAGACTAAGTTCTGGTCAGTTTGAGGTATTTTTAAAATTTTTTGAATTAAAACTGAATTTATTATAGTTTTTTGAATTTTTTGAGTCCTTAAATGTGTTGAAAGTTGACATGGTTAATTTTCTAATCTAATGATCTCCACATTTAATAAAATTTGAACTTACAAGGAAAAATACCACTTAGTTTACTGTGATTAAGTTTCACCCCTATTGAATGCGTTTAGAACTCCCTAGAAATTTTCAAAGTTTTCTAGATCTTTTCCTAATTATTTTTCCTAGGTGACCCTACTATTCAAATGGGTTCTAATTTTTGTCAATCTAACCCTGACATTAATACATACACACCAAAAAATTTTTAAAACATAATACTAAAAATCTAGATAGTTATGAATTTGTAAAGTTTTAGGTTTAAAATGAATCTATTACCTTGAAAATTCACATCACAGAAATCTACTAGGAATCTGATCTTAGAAAAATTACATAACATGCCTAAGATACCAAAAAATCTTTCACCAAAATTTAGACTCAAATTGACCACGGGATTGTGAGAAAATTACAAAAAACTAAGTTTAGACAAACTAAAATATCTCACAATCTGGGAATCAAATCATCTCAATTTTAATTTTAAAAACTACTACATTAAATTTTCGTTCCAACAAGCCAAAAAATGTCCAATTTGGTGAAAAATTATTTTTTTGTAAATTTTGAAAGATTCTAGCATTAAAAGTGATTATTTTAATCAATTCTGGTCAAATCGACTACCGACACGAAATGAATTGATGGCCACAATTGTGACATGTAGGTGCCCACATTTCGGATCGACGTGGGCTCAAATCTAGCTGGAAACATCGTGTAATCTGGCTATGATTAATTGGCCGATTTTAGTTCAAAAATGTACTAAAATTTTAAATGCTTATATCTTTAAAATACTCAACAAAATCTCACAAAATTTGAAATGTAGCTTGGGGGAAACATAATCTTGCAATGCCTAGAGTTTGGAGGCTCCTTACATTATAAAATTTATATAGTTTCAAATTTAAATTTTACCTAAAAGTCAAGATATCTTATAATCTACATAGTGGATTGTTGAGATCTTGGACTTCTTTTGCTCCTAGTGATGTCTTCTACAAGTTTACTAAAGATTCTAGAGGTTTTTGACGGCTAGAATTGAAGTTGTTAAAGAGAGAAAGTTTTCTCTCACTAGAATGGTATCTCCTCACTAGAATAGTGATTTAAGGCTTGGAAATGGTGGGGAGAAGCTTGGAAAGGCCTTAGAAATGGTTAGAGAATATGGGGAAGGGTTTTGAAAGGTTGGAGATTGGAGGAGAGTTTGGGGAGAGTGAATAATGATGAATGAATCCCTTAGGTCAAGTTTTACGCCCCCCTCCCCCCCCCCTCCCTTAGATTTTTGAATGCATTGTTGAGATTTGATTTGTGGTGGTTTGGATGGGTGACAAGTGTTCCATAAGCTGCCAAATCCAAGAGATAGGGTTAGTGGGGAGTGCGACCTCCCTTGGTCCATAGGAAAGGGGACCACACCTTTTTCCCTATTTAGATGAACCAATGCATGGCTTGGTTTGGGGGGATGTATTAGGGGTCAATTAGGAGAGGAAATGCGTCACTTTCCATCTAGTTTGAGTAGGTTTTGGACTAAGCCATGGATTGCCTTGGTGGCTTGTTGATGTGGCTATGATTTGGTCTCATTTTAAGAGTTTATTGACCCATTGACTTGTTGACTAGTCAATGGTGACTAGGATATGCATGGAGGGAGTCAAGGGTGCTGTAAGAGTTAATCCTAAGCGGTTTGAAATCATGGGGTTGAAACTTTTCAAATACACAAGATGGGAGAGGGTTTTGACCCCTCCAAATGGGTTAACCAAGTCAAACCTAGGGAGGATTAACTTAAAAGTCCTTGGACATGTCATGGGTGTCCAATTGAATGATTTTGAGGGTTTGATTTGGTTTGGAATGGATTCAAACATTGGATCTGACCATAGGTTGAGTTAAGGGTTAATTTGGTCAACTATGATTTGACTTGGTCAATTTGATCAAACCTTGGGTTGAATTTGGGTCAACATGTTCAAATAAATGTTTTGAGACCAACGGAAGTGATTCCATGCATTGGGTAGGTCATTTGGGTTGAAATTGACATATGAATCCTTAAGAGGCATTTGGGTCAACCTTACTTGACTTGGTCAACCATTTCAAACCAAGACTTGAGTTTGGGTCCAATGGATTCTAAATGATATTTAGGATCCATTGGAATAAGTTTTGAGGATTGATGAAGGAAGGCCAAGTTGGATTTTGGGGAAAAAACTCATAATCCCTTAAACGACATGTTGGTAATTTTGACCCCTGATCAACATTGGGTCAAACTAGATGCAGGACAACATAGGTATGTGGTCAAGAGGTCTTAACAAAGGCCATGGGTGTGATTGGAATACTTGAAAGGGATCCCATGGTCCAATTCCATTGGGTGGCATGTCTAGTAGCATAGGCTATAAATATTTAAATGTTTCACAGCCTTTAGAAATCAACATGATTTTTGGGATTAGTCTTATCCACAAGAAGAATATCAGAAGCAAAATTTCTTTTTAAGACAAATAAAAAAATAACAGCCAAGTAAAATTATGTTTACAATTAAAAAAAAAAATATTTGTTTCAAACAAAAGTAATAAACAGTCAAAGCTATTTCAATGCATAACAAATGAAGAGGTCCGGCAGAAACACACATTTTTGCAACCCAAGCCGCCTCAAGTGCGGCAGCTGTCACGCTAGGTGACCGAACGCGGGTTAATTAAATGACGATTATAACCTCCTCGTTCTTGGAAAAGATCATCCCGATCCTCGGGCTAGCATAATCCGTATTAGTCTCGCCTCTCGCTCCCGACTCTGGTCACCCTTCGCTGCCTATCTGAAAACCCCAGATTCAACGACAGAGGCATCGCAGCTTCAGTCCTCGACGCTTCTCTCCTTTTCTTTGCTGTAATCGTTGGCCCTAATCCGTATCAGGAATTAAGAATCTCCGTTAGCCCTAGGTCTTCCGCAGGTCTTCCTCCAGTAGTTTTTTGTGTTTAAATTGCTTAATCCATTTGGAATTAGAATTGACGGAAGTCGCGCATGGGCGAGACCATCCGTTATGTGAGCCGATCTTCTCTCTGTGCCTGAGAAAAATAGCTCCTCGGCTGGGTTCCATGTGAGGTTGGTTAGTTTTTAAGTATTTGGACATGGGGAGTACTGGAGAGCCGGACAGGAAGCGGCGTCACTTTAGTTCCATATCTCCTACGGCTGGTGCTGCGGCTAAGAAGCACTTGCTATCCCCTTGCACCGATGATAAGAAGGTACAATCTCTCTGCTTCTTTTATCGGTTACTTGGGCGTAATAGGTCTAATTTTATATCGGTTAGAGCAACGTTTTTGTTCCTGTGAATTCATTATTTAGGAAGTGCTTTTATGCAGTTGGCACTTGGGATTTTTTTTACAGGCAAGGTCAGCCTGTTTCTCTTAATAGCATATGTTATGCTAGGGCGAGGGAAGTGATCTGGGTAACCATGGTGGGATATTTCTATCTTTGTTTTTTTGCTTTCAGCAATCCCGATTTGTTTTGCTTTTACTAGTTGTAAGCCAAGCTGGTCTAGGGTAACGACGCGTCCGTATTTTTATTAACATTGCAACTCTCTTCAATCGGTTAGAGTAACTATATTTGGCGTGTGTAACTTACAGTGTCTGGCGTGGTATTATTTGGCATTGAAATGACAACAAATGTTTTTTGCTTTGCAAGCGGTAGGCATTAACTGGAATACTTGTTAGCCTTAAATGAGTATAACCAAGTGCTTCCTTAGATAGGCTTGTATTGGATCACTTCGAGAATACAATGGGTTAGAAACTCATTGCAGCTATAGTCCAGGTAAGACATGTGCATGAGTGCTGGTGATTCTTTGATTACTAGTGGTATTGCATTTTCTTTCGTAGATTTATATGTTCTTTTCATCTCCTTCAATTGTTCTTAGAAGGAAAATTGATAAGTTGAATTTGTATTCACTCATTGTAGGTGAAAGAAAATTTTGGTTGAAGGCAACAAAATTGTCTTATGAAATCTTTTTTTTTTCTTACGGGGTTCCACAAACTTCACATTTCAAATTACAAGATCATGTTTGTTTCATTTATTAAGGATTGATCTAATTTCCTGCAACCAATCTAGTTATTAATTTATACATCATTTTTTTTCTGATCATTGCACTTCTATAGATTTATTTGCTATTGGATCATATTCTTTTTCTAATTATAAGAAAAATAAATAGGAAAAGGGGCTATATTGCTAAGGGGATTGATATATTTCAGATTTTTGGTAGCTTTCAGTAGTCAAATGATGCCGAATATTTAACTTTGGAAATTTTTGTTGCTACATTGATTCCTTTATATCTAAATATGCAATGCTTACTATTTTCATTTTAATATTTGTATTTAACTCTTGAAGATTATTTTCAATTATTTTATCTTTAATAGTTGCGACTTCCATTGTTCATTTAATATAAAATTTCATTAATTTATTCTTCCTAGTTTTTCCATACAACCATCTCAATATTCTCATTTCTATTATGTTCAATTTATATATTAATTGCTTTTTAATAACCAATCCTTAAATCCATGCCATTTCATCAACCTTAATGTGTTTTTTTAAAATTCATTTTTAAGTATGTATGATATTTTATTATTTTAGTTCATAATACTTTTGATGCACCTCTCTATTTTAAGCATTTAACTCCATAAATTATATTCATATCTATATCTCCATGCCTCTATAATAGATCCTAGATATTTATACCTATCACATGAAGTTTTCACTTTATGTTTTAATTATATTGATAAATGATTGTTAGTATCACATCCATTTAAATTGCATATAAAATACTCAATTTTTTTTAGTAATTCTATGCCCTCAAACTTTTACCTATTTTCCATTTTTCCATCCTTTCACCTATTTCAATGAATTTCTTACTGATTTGAATTATACCATATGCACCCCACTTCTATATCCTTTGTAGGCATCTTCATAAATAATACAAGAAGATATAAACTTAATGTTGATCTTTGATGTAATTGTATTGTATTTGGAAAATTTTTGGCAACTCCATAATTACTTTGAATTTACTCAATAGTTCATTTAATATGTTTTTTATGACTTCAGCAGAATTTTGACACACATCCAGTTGTTTTAATGCACTCCAAATAAACTGTGGTACTTGATAATGTCTTCTCAAGATCAATATGAAAATCCTTTTTATGCTATCTATAGTTTTCTATTAATTATCTTAATAGAAAGACCACTTTCATAAGAAATTTTCTTCGTAAATGATTCTTTGTATTTGATATTTTTTTAAGCTTATGTTTTATTACTCTCCCATAGCTTCATTATGACTTGTAAGTTGATTCATCTATAATTACTACAATCTTGAACATCTCTTTTATTCTTAAATATTGGCATTAATTTTTTTCTCTAATAATTTGACAGTTTCTTTGTCTCAAAATTTTATTGAAAAGATTGTTAACCAGCACTATAGTATCCCTCATAACTCTCTAATTCTCATTAGGCATTTCATTTTGACCTGAAGCCTTACCTTAATGCATTTTCTTCACATCTAATGTCACTTTATTTGTTTGGATCAATCTATAATATATTTTACAATATTAATCATTACGTTCTTCTTTAATTATGTTATTTAATGATTTCTTAAATAGCATTTGCATCCTTCTTTATTGTTTTTATCTTTAACTAAGATTCTATTATCTTTTCTTTTAATGCATCTAGCATGATTACAGCCTGTAATTTTTTTTTTTGCATTATTCAATTCCAAGGCTATCGTACAAATCATAAAAAAATATAGATTGTTTTGAAAATTTTATGAAAAATGCTATTCGATTGACTTTGTTGTATCAATTTGAGTGCTTGATTGCATAGAACTCATTGATAGCAAAGTTTGATAGAAATGTGGTCTTAAAATGGATGGGTTATAAAACCAAGGGTTTCTTGAGAAATGATAACATCAGTGAGGTGGTGGGAGTTACATTAGTATAGATAAGACAATGAAAAATAAACTTGAGTGGTTTGGGCATACATAGTGCAGCTCAAAGGATGCTTCGATAAGGTGAGTCAATAGAATCAATATCAAAGAATAGAAACAGGATGGGGTGGACTAAGGGTGAACTTGAGTTATTATGCCATATAGTAAGATTATAGGGATGAAAGAAGGAAGATGGATAAAGTTGGCCTCAAATAATTAGTATAGGTAGCTTTTACTGCTTATGAAAGCATGTTTTCCTGTCTAACTTGATTTTCTTTTGAAATATAATCACTTCCTCACAATAACTTAAAAATCACTAAGTGGTCGTTCGGGATCAATTTCTTGTTTTAATTTTGTTTATATTTTTATATAAAATGAAAATATGCCTGTCATCCTAAATGAGTATTTTTTATTTTGCTTTTATTGAATATTGCATAAGTTAGTGAAGACAGGCAGTTATGTTGGTTGGTGGCAAGTGATGGCGGGTGGTGATTGGGATTTTCATTAAAAAAAATTAAATTGCGTAAAAGCATCTAAAAATTGATGGGAACATATCATTTGAGTGCCATAATGCCTAGTAATGTGGTACCAAATAGAAAGATTTCCCCAGATCCTTCTGCTGGAAGCTATGATGCACCAACACTTCTCCTCAAAGAGGCGTGCAGTGTCCGACACCATGTCTGACACGACACTCGCCCGACACTCCTCCGACACGTGTCGGACACGTCAAAAATGTGTCCGATTAATAAATATTAAATACAAATTGGACACGCGTGTCCGACACGCATATCTTAAATATTTTATGAATTTTTTTAAATATAATTTCTTGTATTTGGCAGGATTTAAAATAAATTTCTTATTTCCTATACACAACACCAAATCAACATCCGCACTTAATACTCAATCATCGAATATTCTCATTTTTATTTCTTTTTGGCAGTGAAGGTATTTTCATCTCCTCTCTCGGTGACTGATAAACGACATCGACGCCTGACTCTCGACATCCTAATACTAATCATTTTAAGCACAATTCTAGTTAAATGACTTATTATTTTCAAATTATTTTTAAAATTATACTTATTTAATTTTTATACACTATTTTTTAAATATAAAAACTATAATAACGTGTCTAACCCGTGTCTGTGTCCTATGTTTTCTATACTGATGTGTCCCGTGTCCGTGTCGTGTCGTATCCGTGTCGCCGTGTCCGTGTCTGTGCATCATAGGTTGGAAGTACTGGTTCACCCTATTTGGCGCCATTATGATCACTAAGGATGACTTTTAGGCCTCATCAACAGTTGGGACTTGCAGTGCTCTTTTTTCCCATGCATTTAATGGCCAAACTCTATCATTTTATTTCACGCATTCCTAGCAGATGATAATTATCTTTTAAAAGCTGGACATAATTACAACTGTCATATGTCAGTTAAATTTGTTGTTGGATAACTTTTGGCCCTTGCGAAAGGCATGTGGATGAAAGGAACTTAGGTATTGCAGGAGCCAAGTAGTATATGCATTTATTTTGTGTGCAAGTTCTTTCTGGCATGCATCAATGAGAAGTTAAGATTAGGTGATTATGTTTGAAGGGGATCTGCTGATTAAGAAGTTCTAAGTCTGAATAATGTAGCATGCTATATAATGTAGTGATTAAAGATCTATTTAATGCTGAAGTAGAAGGCATTAATGATAGGATGCTTGGTACTAATTTTGACTGTTAAAATTAGTTGATGAAAATTTTATCAGAAAGTTTGTCTTTCTAAAATGCTATAAAAGTACAGATTGAAGGATGCAAAATAAGGCCTAGAGTTTTTTTTTTACCTGAATGGCTCGTGATTCATGTCGGCTTCTGGGGTCATGATTTCTTATGTTTTATTTTGAGTTACGGTGCTAGACTGCAAAAGCTAGTTCTGGATGCTAGACTGCAAAAGCTAGTTCTGGATGGTAGGTATTGATTAATAAATTTGACTGGATAATTTAAACAGGATGCTTTGTTTTTCTTCTTCTATGCTCACTGTGACATTGCATTATAAAAACTAGCAATATTGGGATTGTTCTTGACCATTATTCTTAAGAATCTTATTTCCACTGTTACCATGTAACCATTTTGGTCGCTCCCGAACAACTTTAATCCATTTTAATGGGGGTACTGTTACTTTAAATATTTTTAGCAGTTTCTGGTTGAACTAAATGATTGTTGTTACACTGATTCTTGAGTGCATAAGAACCTGGTTCTGGTGATTCTAATCAGAGTAATCTTATTCCTTGCCATATACTATTATATTAACTTTATCTGTTGACTATTCTTGTAGCTTGATGTTGCTGTTCTTCAATTTCAAAATCAGAAGCTTTTTCAGCAACTGGAAGCTCAAAAAGTTGAGTTCTTTGTTCTTGATGACAAGTACAATATGCTCAAAGAGCAACATCAGATTTATGAAGATGCAGTAGTAGTAGTTAATAAGTCCTGGGAACAGGTAAATGACCACTTTTATTTATTCATCTCTGTTCTACTCTATCCTTTTATGTCTGAGAGAATGTCTTTATTTTTTCAACAGTTGGTTAGTGATTTGGAGTTGCACTCGATCTGCACCAGTGAATCTTTACATTCTAAACATTATATGCATGATTCCTGTTCGTTGGAAGGTATGGTCAGGGGTTTAACTTGTACCTACATATGCTTGAGAAGTTTTCCTTATGTTTACTTTAAGTTTAATGCTTTTCATTGTATTGCATTCAAAATCTATTTGCTATAATTTTTGCTTAGCATTGCTGTCATCCTCTAACTAGGTTTTTAATTTATGTACATGCTTATCTCTGTCCCTTTTTGTCTGCGAATTCTTTGATCCATATATTTGGGCACGAGTGTGTTATCTGCACCTTCATTCTTTTTGGGAGCATCTCAACTTTGCCACTGCACTAAAAATTCTTGCCTTTCTCATTTGACTTTACCCATCTAGTCAACTTCTTTCATTTTTCTGGGCAAGGAATAATTTGATGCTTATAACATCGTTTAATTTCTCATTCAGATGGAGCATCCTTCCCCATACAGGATGATTTCTTGAGCAGATTATTGGAAGCTGGTGCAACAGAAAGCTGCTCGTATAGTGGGCTAGATGATCCAGACGATTGCACACAAATGGCAAGTGAATCAACAAAAGCCATATTGCAGAATATAATATCTTCTATTAATTGGATGTGGCACGTAAGTGAGGATGTTGTTTCTGCACTTCAAGCTACCTCTTTGGAAAATGGTATGGCTTTTTCTGTTCTTTTTTCCGAATGATGTCAAAGTTGTACTTCAGCTTACTATAGATGGAGCATGCCATTTTCATTTCAATTTTACCTTTATCTTTTTTTTTTTGCATTCTTTTGTTTCTTTTTAGATCCAGGATTGCGATTGCAAAAATCTGTTGATGAATTTAGGATCGAAATTAGAAACCTTATAATGGGAGTGAATGACCTGCATTTGAAGCATAGACACTTAGCAAGCCGGATCCAGAACGATAGAAGCATGAACGCCAAATTCAAAGCAGAGCAGAAACGTTTAACAGGTATCTATTTGAAAGATAGATCATCTTAAGCTCTCCAGTCTAACTATTGCAGCCAAACTTGTTTTAGATATTTGAAGTGAGTACAATTGTATTTGCTGATGCTAAAACAGTTACACTTTGACAAATGCGTAGGTGCATTAGCTAGTACTGCCATAGAATTGGAAGACAGCAATTCAAAATTGGCCATTCTTAAGGCACAAGGAGATGGATCAAAAGGTGCACCAATTATTTTTCCAATTTTAGGAAATAAACTAGCTGGTGGAGATGTGGCCAGAGATACCCAAAAAGAAATTCATGACATGGAGTCATTATATAAGGAATTAAAAGTAATGCTTTTTATATTGTATAATATTTAATGGTGCTTCGTTCATTTTCATGATATGATTTGAGCTCTTTTAATCTCTTTTGCAGGATTTAGATTCAAGTCGGATGATGGAAATCAGTAATCTACATGAAAGAAGAATAGAAATATTAACGAAGCTTGTGAATTTACAGGTTTGTTTTATTATGATTAATATTATTATAACAGCTCATTTGCTTATTAACCATACATCTACATCTACTTGTATGCATATGGGTGCATTAGCTTGTGTGTGCAATCTGTCCATATGTGCTTTAGTTCAAATATCTGATGATACATTTGGAAAGTGGATCATCAGAATGCTTTGATGGACGTGAAGAGTATATCTTCTTCTAGCATTTTTGTGACACTTAAAGGGAAGCTGGATAAATCAAAAGCTGAAATGGATAGCTCTCGAATTCATTTGGAGAAATTGCAGGTGGTAACTGGTCGGTAGATACATGTAGCCTGCAGCTCATTTGAGTAAGTATCTTTTGATATGCTAAGATTTGTTTTCAATCACTTATGATAGGTCGAAAGGGAAAATTTCCTTTGGCATGAGAGGGAAGTGACAATGAAGGGTGATCTGGCTGATGTAACCGGAAAGATAGCTGAATTGTCAGAATTGCGAATAGCTGAATTAGAACAAGAGTTGCAGAAATACACTCAAGATCAGAACCTATTGGAGGCAAAGCTTGAAGAAGCCTTGAGAGAACCTGGTGCATATCAATATGTCTATGCCATACTATTTGATCAAACCCTTTCAGATTTTATTTTTATTCTTAATTTTATTAGTAGCTGAATTATGCTCCTTTCGTTCAGGTAGGGAAAACATCCTTGCAGAATTTAAAGAACTTGTATCTTCCTTTCCTAAGGAGATGGGAGCTATGCAAAATGAACTGAGCAAGTCAAAGGAGTCTACTTCCGAAATTCATTGCCTTAGATCTCAATTGCAGTCTTTATCTGGCATATTAGGACGGGAGGTATGGTTCCCTGATAAAATACTATTTGATTTGGTTCTATTAGTTTCCTATAAATTAAAAGTTTTGGTGGCTGAATCTTATTTTGTTGCTACAGGTTAGAGAGTTTCAGTCATTGTCTGATAAATTTGCTGCCCAGCTTTCTGAGATTGAAAGATTGCATTTAGTGGTATGATTCCTTATATGTAGTTTTTCATTACTGCTAACTAGGGATAGTCCTGCTTTTTCTCTCACCAAGTTTATAAAGAAATGTGCCCATCAAGCGTTAATCACAAATCTGTGATTAATTAGCCGCTGGTTATTATAGATGGTAGCTAGCACTTTGTAATCATCATTTCAGGAGGAAATGTTCTAGTTAATTCTGCCTTCCTGCAAGTTGTCTGGAGAAGTTACCAAACAAAAGTTTTTCAACTTGCAGGAGAGTTGCGCTTTTTGTTCAACACCCAAGCTTTTTTCCTTATATATATTCATTTCTTTGCTTAATAAAGGTATTACCAATCAAGCACCTGTGACATTTGCAAGAAAAAATTAGTAAATGATTTACAGGTATTATTCAGCTACCGCATTATTTTTAATATTTAGAAGAGGTTCTATAATTCTTTTTTGGTTTTTTCACTTGACGGAATTAATTTAGAAATAAAGTTTTCTGAAACCCTGGGAATACTTTTCTTGAAACTGAAGAGTTTGTGATGGCTTGTTAAAATATGCGGATGGCTTGTCTTTTGTTTGTTTGATTGATAAAGAACAAGAAGAAAAGACAGAAAGGAGAACATGAAGTCAGTCAAATGAAAGAAGGGCTGAGAGAGCCAACCACCTAATGGGAAGAGGGTTTGCCAATACTGAAGTGTGGAAGCTTGATCATGCAATAGTCATTTTTCAATGAGGATCACCAAATCCCCCTTTAAGGAAAAGACCACCAAGTCTAACATGATTACATTGCAAACAAGCAAAGTACTCATTTCATTTTATTCTTTCAAAAGTTTACAATGATATATTTATGATTTCTAATATATGTATCCTGATGAAATTTCAAATGATACATTCAATTACATTAAATTGGATAGAGGGGAACCGGTCATGTGTATGAACCAAAGAATTGGTTCATTGCTTTGACTCTTCAACTTATACACTATGACTCTTCAATTGCTCTTTAATTTCTTCAGACGACTCTTCATATTCCAGTAGTGGCCGAAATCATCATGATGTCCACATAAATTTTCTTGCCAATGGATTCATATGTTAACTTGCTTGAAAAACAGACCTTTAGGTGAGGTTGTATTCTTGATTTGTGGACTAAATTCAAACTCACATGACATTTTACATTTCGTTGTTCAATAATTATACAAATATTTCTCCACAATAAAAGGACAATAAAATGACAAATCAAGATTACTTGAAAGCAGAAAAAATTGTCTTTTTGTCATACATGAGTTGGAGAACATTTATGTATTCAAAACATTGAAATTTTATTATAAGCATCATCCATTTTTGAAGAGGATTTTTCATTTAAGGAGATTTCAAAAAGTAAAAAGTATCAAAAGCAATAAGGAGAAGTAATATTGGATATTTCATAAAGATTGTCTTTTATGAAAATAATCTTTTTAAGAAATTTATTTTCCATTGCGCTATTATTACATATTAAATCTTAAGGTGATATGATGAGTCTAAATACAACAGTAATGGCATGTCCAAATAAGGCAAGCGATGACATGTTGAGTGGTTGGTACTTAAAAAAATTCATCCACGAAGAGTTGGATGAGTTGGTATCCATTGATGTAGCGATGTCAAAACAAGCTCATATACATCATGTTGGATGCTTGAAAGCTAGACAACAATATGGTTTAGAAGTTATCATAGAGGTTGACTCCAATCTGTTGAAGCCCTTCTAGTTGCGTATGACTTGAGATCCAATGGATTCATTTATAGTAGAAGAAAGTCGACAATCATGGTCCCAGATGGTGTCGTCAATTAGACACAGGAAGTAATATATGTAGCATAGGAACAAGACCTATGGGAACACCTATATTTAATGTTATAGGCTTGATAATGTTTTTGCCTCACTAAAGAAAGTTAACCATAAAGTCAAGATCCATAATCATTTTAATTGTTGCATGATTCATAAGTTTTGAATTATAGTGGTAGAAAGTAAGTGGAGCATGGTTTATACTTGTTTTGGTGATGGGTAGTCTACATGAACTTATACCAATCAAAGGTAGGAAAGGTTGAGGAAAGTTATAGCATTGATGTGTAAGAATAAAATCAAAGTATAACTTACTAATTGCATGACATAACAGTATGCAATAGAAATCAAAATTTTTTCCTAAAAAATTAGCATTTGAAATATTCTAGTTTTCCTCATCTATCCTCATATCCCATATCTATAATGTTTGAATCAATATAGAACATTTTGTTTTTCTATATAAATCTATGTTCTTACATTCTAATTACTTCTCGATACCTCCCAAGGAAAATTATGATTTGGATAAAAATTGGACAAGTTAGTGTGAGGTTGTTAATGTAGTTAAGCACTCTTCAGATAGGAATTCATTTCTAGAAAGGCTGCTTTTGTGATTTGCTTATCATTAGAGATCCTTTCAATGACCATTTTTTTGTGATAAAGGGATATCTATATGATCCAATTGATTGCCTTTGGGTCACTATAGCAACAAAATAGAGGAATCTATAGAAAAAGATTTTTTTTTCTATTATGTATTATTATATTATTTGTTTGTTATCCGAGTTATTTCTAATCCTATTAATTATATCATTTTATATCTTAGTTTTAGCATTATTTAGTGATCCTGACTCGACGACAACAACAACAACAACATTAAGCTTTTATCCCACTACGTGGGGTTGGCTACATGAATCCTTTACCTCCATTGTGCTCTGTTAAAAGTTAAATTCTCATTTAAATCTAATAAAGAAATGTCATTTCTACATGAATCCTTTTTCTTCATTGTGCCATGTTAAAAGTTAAATTCTCATTTAAATCTAATAAAGAAAAGGTCATTTCTAATATTTTCTAACAAAATTTTTTTAGGTCTACCTCTTCCCTTCTTAACATAAGTCAAATCTAATACATCTACTTTCCTAATGGGGTCATTGGAAGACCGCCGTTTTATGTGACCAAGCCATCTAAGGAGACTCTATCTAATCTTATCTTCCACTGGAGTTACTCCAACCTTGTCATGTATATGCTCATTTCTAGTCATTGTGCCGTTGCAATCCCAAGCCCCGGATGAGAAAAGTGGAGGGTTGCGTTAGGTAGTTGACAACCAGTATAAAACTTGTCGAATAATCATGACATGAATCATTTAATACATTAGTGATCCTGACTCAATAAGTATTTTTTTCTATGATTAACTATTGGCACCAATACTATAGTTTTCAGAATTTCATTTGTGCAAATATTAAGTGTTTGATGAAAATGTCCATGCTTATGAGATGGAAGTAGAAATATGACAATGAAAATAGCATAAAATTAAGATGCAAACTAAATGCAAAATTAAAAAGACACTTAGCAATATTACTGGATATGAGCTGCATGGTCTTTAGTTTTGTGCTCCGTTTGTGTGGACCAGGCTTGGACTCACACTCAGGCTGAAGTTTTGGCTCAAATGCACATCCTAATTTGGATTTTCCTTTCATGTAATCCTCTAAATCTATTTTTTCCTCTCATGAGAAAGAGGATCATTGCCCCATCTTGAATAGGCTTTGGTATAAATTTAGGTCGAGCTAATGTTGGTGTCTTTGATCATACATGTGATAATATCTATCTTTGATGGAAATGAGAAATGTTTTGATGATATGCACAATTTAAAGTTGCATTTCATGAATGTAAAACTATTGCAGTCTATGAAAGGAAACCATAAAAAAATAGCTAAGTTTTAGTATTTTTACTAAAGTCAGCTAATTATTAATTAATAACTTGTTAAATAAGTTTTGGTTCATGCAAGTGGGTAATACGTTGAATTTCGTTAAGCTATCAAAAGAAAACATAGGTTGAATTACGACAATACGGAGCCTAAAGTTGCATAATCACATAATACCAACATGAAACTAATCCAAACTCATAGTCAATGATCCATAGAATATAATAAAAAAGGCGGGACTTTGATATTGAGTATGGGAGGAGATGCTTCTGCTTGAATGTGAACTAAATTCATAATTGACGTTGATGGATGATTTGGTGATGTGTTGATGTAACAAGTCATAAGAGTCCATTGCTGTCGATGTGCTGAAGTTACAAGTCACAAACATGCAACCTTGATTTCCTCTTGATGTGGATTTTCCAAGGAGGGCAAGATTTGGGGGAGTTCTACTCTTTTAGTATGGAAGGCTTCGCTTTCTTTTTTTGATTGAAAAGCTGATGGGATCCTCTTCTCATTTGAAATAGAAGGATAAGGTAGAAGTTAAAGCTAATTATAGAAAGAGTATAGAAGAGCAAAAATTGAAACATTACTCCCTTAGATTAAATAGTAGCCAAATACAAATTAATAGGTTTCTTAGGAAACCGAAGATAAGAAAGTATTACTCTGCTGGAAGAAGCAGAGAGATGATATCAAACCAGAGCACGTTGTCATCTTAAGTACTGTTAGAGAAACCTTTTTTCAGATAATCAAGATAATTCCAAAGAAAATATACCTTAGAGTCTCATTAAGTTGTTTTTGATATTTTGTCTAGTTAAAAAGAAATATTGAGTGACGCTTCCAACTAATATTCTTCCTCCAATTTATTAGATATGCAATATTCTTCCAACTGATTAACTTCAAGCTTCTATCATCACAGTTTATTCCCAAAAGAAAATCTTTTTTTTTTTACAATAAATTTTATTAATTACCCAATTAGGAATCCAAAATACTGAATAATAATAAAGAGAGGAAAATTCACAAAGATGAGAGTAAGCCATCCACCTATTCAAGTGTGGAAGCTTGGAATGAATTTTATGATTAATATGGAGGTTATCAGTGACGAGGAATGGGAGAAAAAAACATAAATTCTCTTATAAATGAAAGAGAGATAATAACAAAAAAATTGATATGATAAAAAAAATTGATAAAGGGTATTCAAACCTAGCACACAATTGAATTTGCTTGTCAATCATTGTACACTACAATTATTGTTTCTAGCAAGAAACATGGAAACCACAAAAATAAAAAGCTTTCA